ATGTATGAGAATATATACATACATACATACATACATACATACATGATACAGTTAATCCATGTGACCTACCTGTTGATGGCTTTCCTGTGCTGTTCCTTCTTCTCTTCCCGTTTACGCAGGACCCCTTGTTTATTTAGCGTTAGGGATGAACCCACATTACCAGGCCGACCAAACATATCCTGCAAGCAATCGAAAGACAACCGATACACTTCAGTTAACTCACACACGAGTTCGTATCGTATATACAAGTCAATGCCAATACTGTGTTATATAGCTCTATGGGCATATATAGAGCAAAACAGGACAAGAAATGCCCTAAGATAAATTCTGGGTTCAAAAAGTATATACTTGTACACACACCCCCCCCCCCTTCTCGCAGCCGTTCAGTTGCCTACAATCAAAGTACTATAGCATCTGCACCACGCCACGAGTGCCCTGATTATCTCAACACCCCAGATATAGTACCTTCACGGACCAGGACAAAGTAGTCTAAACCCACACATCAGCCAGAACGCTCAACCTGTAAGTCACTTACAACCCAGCCCTAGAGGCTGAGCTTCGCAAACTTCGATACATACACCACCACCCAGCCGATACAAGTGCTGCCACCAATGCATCTCAAGCCGAGTGCACCACACAGTACCTCAAGGCTCGAGAATGAGACTGGTAGCGTGTACTTGAGCCACGACTAGGCGTCAACGCACTACTCATCATTTGTTTTTAGGGGTTATAAATCCTAAAACCCTAAACCCAAAAACTCTTTTGTCTGATATAGTATCAATTTTAAGCAGGTACCTCTGGTACCGTTGCCACGGTGGGTGTCTTGTGCCAGACAGCGTCCGTGGCGAACGGATAATGTCAGTTCTCGCACCGACTTCCTACTAACAAAGTCAGATGCGACAAACAAAGCAGATTGCGACTACACTGGGCTCGTACGCATGCGTGTGTACCTATACATACCATATCCGCCATTTAACCTGATGTTTTTACCTACCTTTTATTTAACCTGATGCTTTTACCTACCTTTTTGGGACAGACTGGGAAGGGGATTTGCTTGACCTTGGCAAAGTGTAAACTCAGTTTGGCGTATAACTCTTCCACGTCATCGTAGTCTTTGGTCAGCATCCACCCGGACAGGAATTTGGTACCGGAATACTGAAGCGAGTGATAAAGAGCATAGCAAAGCTGTGTAAATAGGGGAAGCTGTGAACAAAGATCGGCAGAGAGAATGAACCCAGATATCACACGCACCACCCTTTACCTCACACATCTCCTACGACAAACACACCGGACTGTAGTGCACTATGCCGCGTGCTATGGACTCGCACAGAATAGCCTACCTGAGCAACCTCAATCAGATAGACTACTTTCCCCAGGTTATCCCCCTGTGCTTCAACATCGACAGAGCCGACATCCACAGTCATGCCCTCCATCACCTCCTCGTCTTGGTTCATCAGGCCCATGGCCATGAGTTGAGCCAACTCAAACCCAATTGCTTCCTATGGATTCATGGAGATATACAGTGAAGATATAAACATAATAGCAATATAACAATATAACAATATATATTGATATATATATATGTATATGTACATGTATGTGTATATGTCCATGTATATGTATATGTATATGAATATGTATATGTATATGTATATGTATATGTATAAGTATATGTCCATGTATATGTAAATGTATATGTATATGTATATGTATGCGTATATATATATATATATATATATATATATATATATATATATATATATATATATATATATATATATATATATTATATATATATATATATATAGTAGTATATATAATATATATATATATATATATATATATATATATATATATATATATATATATA